CATATTCATTGGCTGCTTTATTATGAATACATTTTCTCTCAACCTGGAAATTCACAGAAGCTCATGAACTTCTATTTATTATTTTACTTTATATCCTTAAATTTTTTTTTTTACTGTTCTCCCCTTTAAAGTCAGATACCACAGACTGAAGAAAAAACAACAGATAATTGAGATTCTTTTATCAGCCTCCTCCACTAAGCACTTTAAGAGACATTTTATTTATTCCTGGCTTTTGGGAAAATTTCAGCCCACAGATTATTTGTCATTTTTCTCATTTTGGTTAATTTGTCATTATAGTTTTATTCTTAGATGCTGGGATTTTTAAAATTGAAGTAAAATTGACACATAATATTCTATCAGTTTCAGGTGTACATCGTAGTGATTCTATATTTTTATACATTATGAAGTGATCCCCACAATGTCTCTCTTTTTTTTTAATTGAGGTAAATGGTATATTTCGGATCTTTTCTCTCTGAAATTAAGAAATCTTCACAAACATGATTTGGCAGAGAAAGGAAAGTGAAGGGAAACAAGGAAGACAAAGAAAGATATGAAAACCTCCATCTTGCAAATGAATATGACTTAATGGAATTAACTCTCTTCTGTTGGGAGGTGTCAAGGGAAAATGGTGGCTGAGTTCCAGACAATAGTACAAGCTTCCGTTGTGGATGCTGCCCTTGGCTGCCAGCAGGAATCAAAGTCTAAGTAGCTCCATTTCCCATTCATCTTTCATGATAGTTTTAAAAAATGGCGAGCGTCAGCTTAAAACCTCATCCTAATGACCGATTTCCTATTACAACGTGCTCGCAGAGCCTCTCATACCTGCTGTCTTTCTTAAGGGTGGCAATGAGTAAGGGTAACCACAATTAAAGTAGTTCAGGAGGATGGATGATAGGAACTGAGACTCAGAGGGGAACGCCATCGGCCTCCAAGGACCTTTAGAACTCATAGCCCAATCCCTCCTCTGGGCGGTCTGTCTGCACCTTCCTACAAGCGTTCTCTCTCTCTCTTCAGTGGGCTTTCCCTATTCCCAGCACATGATGATGGGAGCATGTTTTCTGGGAAGTGGAGATATTAAAGGGAATAGTTACCTCAGTGGGCCGTGGGCTTCTTGGTGGTAGAATGAATGAATGAGAGAAAAGAGAGATTAGTCAAACACAGAGGACAGAATGTATTAACCTAACAAGTGAAATTCCTTCTGAAATTGGGCTCCCATCTCGTAGAAAAACCCTGTATGTCAATATTATATCTTGAGGTAGGAAAGTAAAGGTAGAAAGTTAACTCGATTTCAGTTTAGGGAAAACAGTTCCAAGGATGCCATGACAACTGAAAACCATATAAGGAGGGGAATCATGATTCAACACCCTGGTGGTGGCTGGATATACAACAGCGGAGGGCCTGGTCTATGGGCATAGCATTGGCTGGGATTTCCAAAGAGGAAGAGGTTGGGTGGGGATCTTGGAATTTTCAAGGCACCTGCTGGAATTTAGAACTGAAGTTCTAAAATGAATGCATTTCCAAAAAAAAAAAAAAAAAAAAACAACAACAGAGAGAGAAACTCTTCCTAAGAATAGCAAATCTTAAATGACTTCTATGGGACTGGGATCATGAATTAATTCATTCAGTTACATTCAGGGAGTGTGTACTCTCTACCAAGTTTTGGAAATTAGGAAAAGTCATAAATAATTCTAATGTATCATGAGAAGAACCATAAATATACCATAGTTTATTAGGCAGAGAGGTAGCACCAAAGATAAGATGTTGGCAGTGAGTCAAGAAAGATGAGTAGCAATTTTCCAGGCAGAGAAGGGAGAGGGACATTCCAGGCATGGTATGGAATAGGCTGACACATGGGAAAACCGAAAACAGCTGTGCTTAGCTGGAACACAGACAGCGAGGGAGCTGGCCAGAAGGGAGACTGGCAATGAGGCTTATGTGGGCAAATCATAGAAACCTCATGTTCCAGGCCAAGGAGGTTGGACTCCTCCTGCAGGAACCACCAAAAGGCTCTACACAGGGAGGGACATGGGCACCAAAGTTGTGTATCAAAACAATCGCCCTTCTAAATACTACCTATTCCAGCCAGACTCCACTTCAAATCCTAAATTTGGATCTTATTAAACATTAGGTCTTAGACTGTTGCCTAACAGCCCTGGCCTTGACCTCATGGTTTAGCACATCTTTCCTAGGACAAATGTCTCTCTTTATTCCTTGGCAGTGTGTTGAATCTGGGAGCGGGAGGCTTGCAAGTGCACAGGCTGGAGGCTGTTACACACCACCACCCTCTCCTATGTAGGTGCTTTGAAACCGGGGTCCTTGTGCTGGCAGAGCCTGTCTCCCTGCTCGCATTCTGAGGCCCACGATAACGGAAGGTGTAAAAGAAACCTTAACACTGTACAAAAAGCAGAACCACAGAGATCTCAGGACGAATATGTCCTCTTGGCACTGCCTTAAAAAAACACACGTAAACAAAACCAAATGGAAACACTGAGTGGAAATGTGTTTTCTCCTGCTGCAGCGGCACATTTGGCCAACTTCTACGTAAAGGACATAGAGTTGGTAAATACAATGCAAACATTTCATGACAAGAACAGGGTGCATGAAACGTACTACGCATTGCAGGAGATAGGAGTGGAATGCACTTCATCTGACGGAGGCAATCAGAGAATGGAGGGGGAAGGGTGCCTCCCCGGGGGTGGGGATGGCAGGGGACAACCAGAAGGAAGAAAAATGGAAGGCAGGTGCATGGGAAAGACCACTTCCTGGGCAGCAGTCTCAACTCTGGACAATTTTGCCCGCCTTTCCCCCACCCACCCCGCCGCCTCAACTCCCCAGGGAACGTTAGGCAATGTTTGGTCATCGCAACTGGAGATGGGGGGTGCTACTGGCCTTCAGGGATGCCGCTAAACATCTTAGGACGCACAGGACAGCCCCCACAACAGAGAATTACCCAGCCCCAGTGTCAGCAGTGCTGAGGTCTGAGAAAACCCTGAAACCTTACAAAGTTTTTGCCTGTGCCCACCCTTGGCAGCACTACTCTACTTTCCATGGCTGCATCTGAAGACAACTGCCAGTAGATTTTTTGAAAAAAACACCGTAATGTCTAAAAATAAAACCATTTTTATACTTCAAGGAACAAACAGAGCGATCATTTTTTTTTCGTGACTCTCTCAGTGCTTGAACATTTCCAAAGGCTGGGAAGAGCAACCCTGCAATCTATACATAGCTCCCAGCCCCTCAGATCCTCCCTGTGCCGCGCCTTGCCCGGCCTCTCCGGGCTGGCTACTGCAGCAAAAGAGAAGACCCTTAATTTATGAAAGGATGCTATTCCTGGCCGGTAATAGCCAGAAACTTCCAGGAAAGGCGGTCTTCCTAATGCCCAGAATCCCTTCCATCCTATCACTCAATCTCTAGCATTTGGTCCCTAGACTGCCCCTACTCATTTCAGTTTTCCTGGGCCCTCATTCCAGTCCTGAAACCCCAGCAAAATGTCTGTGCAGCTTTACCCCAACCCCTCTGACTCTGATTGCAAAGATAAGCTGGAAAATGAATGTCCTAACAAGCAGTTTTTTTTTTAAAGGCGAAAGGTCCGTGTGCCATTAAGAATCCAGAGTCCAGACTGGCTATTACCTCAGACAAATCACCTCCTCATAATTTTCTTCCAACAAATGTCTATGAGGGCTACCAGGCTACAGCAGAAATTTGTTTAATGACAGTCTCTGGAAAATTAAACACTCTGAACAATGGTGATAGATGCATCTCCCCTCCAGCCCACCCCGCCACGGTCTCTTTTCTGACCGCAGACCCTGCAGCCACACAAAGGACCGAGTACAGATGAATGCCCCGGGCCAGAGGAATCAATCTGGATTTTACGCGTGCTCTGTTCCTTCCCATTTCCCTCCGAGGCCCCTTCATCTTCATTCTTCCGTCCCCAGACCCCAGAGCGGTACTGGCTTGGCTACAACATTGGGGTAATATTTTTACCTTCCTGCCCTCCTTTTCCTGACCGTGTTATGTAAGGAAGATCCCAGCTGCCCAAGACAAGGAGATGGAGGGAGGGAAGGACGCCGAATTCGTGACCAAGACTCCGTCCTCATTTCTTCCCTGCTGTGTGGTCTCAGCAGAATTCACTGGCCTCAGGACGACAGCAGGCTGTCCCACAGGAGGGCAGGCCTAAGACCCAGGCCTGCCTCCTCATTTCATAGATGAAGAACCGGGTTTGGGCCTGGCGTGACTTGCTCAAGCTCATGCATTAGTTAGTGACTTGGGTAGGGCCTGGGTCTCCCTGGAACTCCAGACTCTCTGAGGGGGATAGCCATGCATTTTTAAGCTCAAGTGGGCAATTTTTCCTTTTGTTTTGTGTGTGGTAGGGTTAGAGGCTCTTTGCATGGTCCCCCAGAGTCCCACGGGCGAAGGGACCCACTCAAACTGAGGCTGGGATTTCAGGTCTTCGCCTTTTTTAGCTTCGGCCTTTGCTGGGGATTACACTTACACCTGACATGATTAAAGCTTTTCCCCTCCCGCTTCTCCCCTTCCTGTGAGCAAGGAGAAGATGGAGAGGAAACACAGCTCTCAATGCCCGCACTTACTCCCCAGGAGGCCGCATTCATGCATGCTCCCAATTCACAGAGGGGCAAGCCGGAGCCGTGTGATCTGCTCTGCGTGCTTTCATTTCATCCATGAATTTCTAAAGCCCAGAGTTTGTCCTTCTAGTTCCCAAACTACTGTTATGTTCAAATTCCTATTAGACTCATACAACTGATACTTTTCTCTATATCTAATGCAATGGAATCCCCTAATGTATTGTGTTTCTTGCTTTTTAAATTAATTGTGTCCTAATTCCCCACGTGCTGGAGAAAAACAGATCCCTGCATATCTTAATGTAATCTACTGATTTTCCTGGATTCACTCCTCTATTTTTTGTTGGAATATCTAGAAACACATGAAAGGTACACTGTATTTTCCATCAAACCAAAAAGGAGCAGGACTTGGAAAATGACAAACAAATGGTTGGAACATTCCGTGCATCTATGCTCAGCCTGTCTTTCTTCACTCTCCTTAATGCTATGGAAATTGCTGCTTCCATTTCACTTGGAGTGGATATTTGCCTCCAATTAAAGAATCTGAGGGACTCCTGCTAGATGAGGCTGCTAAATAGCACATCCAGGCTCTTGACCCTCTTGGTAACCAAAATCCACGGGCCAGCCAACGGGAGAGACGCAGGACTGTGGGCAATGCCTTTGGTGGACGTGGCAGCCTTGGAATGGGCTCCAAGGCTCACAACTAGGGTGGCTGTTACATATTTTTGGTAAATCAATTTTCATTTTTCATCTGTAAGTGAGAGGAACCCACAACTAGGAAGATTTACTCAAACATTTAAAATCACCAGTTGTATCCCCTGACAGAGAGCTGAAATTTGGGAGTCTTAGAGTGATTTCTGAGCTCAGAGAGGGAAGCAGTGTGGTGTATGGGGGCATGCATGGAAGCCGGTGTCAGGCAGAGCTAGCTCCGAATCCTAAGCTGACCTTTTTAGTTGTGCGACTTTCGGCAAGCTGAGTCCACCCTTTCTTAGATGTATCATCAAGGTACAATTTTGCACATTTCTTTTTGGGTGTGGCTTGAGTAAAGAATAGATGCCTTTTCTTGCTCCCAGCACCAGAACACCCAAATGCAGCCCCAGATACAGGGCAATCAGTATCTTGTTAATGAATGAAGTCTGTACTTATGAGCGCCCCATCATTCCTCAGCATAGCAAGGTGATCAGCTTCTCTCCTTTATCTGCTGTCTGCTACATGTCACTACTGACCAGGATGACACAAAGCCTGAGGCTGGCATGGCAGCCCACGCATATAAGGTAGCCCAGAATTGAGAACTCCCCACTGTGGTACCACATCCAGTCTTACTTTTGGGAGACAGTACCAAACTGTCTTGTTTTTTGTAAAACACATGGCCCTTCTTCCCATACCATTAGTATGACTCTACTCATCAAACTTGAAGGAACTAGATCACAGTAGAGTATGAATGACTGACAGAGGCCCATGGGCAATTTACATATTTAAAGAAATTGGTTAGTTTTAAAGACTGTCATTTCAACAACTGTAATAGGCTCAAGGGAGAGGTTTTGGGGTTCAAGTCACAGGAAGTAGGTGACTGGTCTCTCAACTCTTCTGGGAAGCCGGACTTGAATTCAACCTAAATTTGGCAGGCCAATCAACCTCTGACTGTTACGAAACCCGAGCTTCATCTCTTTGTGCTCCATCACGTTCTTTGGCTGTTGGTAAATCTCTGAAAAGCTCAAAAGGCAAATCAGGAAAAAGAAGATTCTGAAGTTTCATTTTTTTTGCCACTTGTTAACCAAGAAGATAAGCTCCTTTGGGTTCAGGTGAGGCTTCAAGATGGAAGTCCAGGATTCATAAATGTGTCTTCCCTGGGCCCCAGAAAACAGAAATCTGGTTGTCTCTTGTCACCTGCACTTTCTATCCAAGAATAGGATGATTTTAAGGCATTCTGAATCTCCTCCTAGCTGCTACCCTGCAGAATACCCAGGGCTATGACAGTAACGCCTACTCTTCCCCATCCAATCAATAGGACTTTAAGCAAATCATTTAGTGTAACCAGTCAAAAAGAACCAGCTGTACGTCAGGTGCAGAAGGCAATTAAAACAGCATCAGTGGCACACTACATCAAGAACTAATGATGTAATGTATGGTGATTAACATAACAATAAAAAATTAAAAAAAAACAGCATCAGTGGCACACAAATAGCACTTTATATTTGAAAAGTTGAGTCTCTGATAAGAACGGTGTATTTTGCCATCTTTTTTTTACCCCCATCCAGGAAGCACTGACAAGAAAAGTAGCAGGAGCCGAAACACCCTGCAACAGAAAGATAATGTCGACATCTATTTCAGGCCCTGCTTGGATCCCACTTCCTAGTTAATAACACTTGCCTCTAAAGAGTTGGCCAGCCATCCTCCCAACCCCATTCCTAGTCTTGACTGTAAATATTAACTATGGTCTATAAAGCAGTCAGTCAGCCCCCCCCCACGTCCCCACATGGGGCTGTTTGGAGAGGCCCCAGGAATGAGACAACCCCTGCAGAGCAAGGAGGCTTTTTCTACTAGATTGAATGTGAAAGAGCTTTTCTGAATGGCAAGAATGTACCCAAGTGTACATTCTGTACATCTGATACAAACAGAGCTGCAGAGTGAGTGCATGCACTTTTGCACATGCAAGGTCACGGACGATGGGCTAGAAGGACAACAGTGACCCAGAGCAAGGCAGCATAGCCACATTCCTGGAAGGTTTTGTCTGGCCAGCCACGGAGCTAAGTGCTGTACCTGTCTTAGTTGTAGAGATGTTATTGTCTCCACATTACCAAGAAAGGGCAATTCAGAGACAGTCAGAACTTTACTCAAGGTCACACAACTAGTAAGTATGAGACTGGGAACCGAACAGAAGCTCCAGGGGACAGCAAAGCACATACTCCTTACTGCTGCCTTTGAGGAATTACCTCAGTCTGGGCAGCTACGGGCTGGGATTTGGACTCCTGCCAGGCTCACTTCCTGATGTCCAGAGGCAGGCCATACTGCTGAGCCTTGCCTTCCCTCCTGTGTGGAAGAATCAGTAGGTACTGTCATATGCTCTTAATTTCCTAGGTTCCCTTCTTCTGTTGGGCCTCCTGCCTCCCATATCTGGTTTTCTGAAGGAAGGTGAATACATATCAAAGTACTAGTTAGAAAATTTCTCACTCTAGGTTGGAATTAAAATTGTCATATAACTATTTCTTAATAGGCAAATATACCCTGACCCTCAGGATCACCCTCCAAACCTTTATTAAGCACCCTTAAAGTCCTCCAGCTTGATATTCAACATGGCCCAGCTCTGAATGGTTGGCACTCAGTAAATACTTGTTGAATAAATGAACAATGAATGGATCAATCAGCTGATAGATTTAAAAGTGGGTAGGTCTTAAAATCACTGTAGCAGAACAATATAAAAGTAGCTGGCAGGGTGTACTAAAATATTAAATATTAAAGTCTACAATAGCCAAATCCATTGTATTGGTTTCCAAATGCACTTGAAAAACATTGCTTCCAGGTTGAGTCCCCTGCATGTGGGCCAAAGCTTGTCTGGTCAATGAATTACTCCCAAAGTGTAAGTAAGGAGGTTCATCAGCTTTGCATACCCCTTTGGGAGCAACTGAGAAAATGAATAGTCTGCTGCTCCATGAGATCCAAGGGGCCTAACGAAATAATGCAACTCCACAAGGACCTAAATTATGTTTGAGGATTATTTTGCTCATTAAATAGCATCCCTGCTGTGAGGAGAACTGGTCAACCCAATGCAAAGAGAGGTAAGAAACACATCCAGTCAGTGAGCGGCCATGAACCTTCTCACTGTATTACTACTGAACTGACCATCCTGTTGCATAAGATCCCCCAGCCCTCAGGCCAGCTGCCATTGACCAGGGAGTAGCCATGGCCCCGGATGTGTCTAAAAATGCTAAGTGGGCTATTTGGGGCCTGAGGAAGTCTTGTTAATATCAATAGCAGGCCAATGTTAGGAAGTTCAAAAGCTGTATTTTGCTTCCAAACTAGAGATTCAACGAATTTTATTCCACAGGCATATACTGTAATATTTTAAAAGGTGCTTTTTTAAGATAAAAAGAGTTTAAAGCCTACCTGTGTGCAATTCTCCCAAGTTAAAGCTAAAATTTCCTAACCTTGGAAGGTTCGTTTCTCTTATGCTGTCATTAAAATTACTTATGCCTTTAATTTGCTGAGTCGTATTTAGTGGGAAATCTCCCAAGCCACATACTGTGTTCCATTACTCACACCTGTGTTCTGGGGCATTGCTCCTTATAAGAGTAAGCCATAACTGAAATACCCCCTAAAATAGGATAAAATCATCTTCTACAGGGCATGCTCAGGTACATAATTTAAGTAAACTTGGCTCCGTTTTCTGCTCTCACTGAGAGAGTCTATCATTCCAACCATGTCATATGTGCAATTTCAGCTGTTTCCCAATCAGGCAAGTGTAAAAAAAAAAAAGCCAGAGAGTATTCTCTAGAGTGGTAAAGGTTTCCTTCCTCTACTGTATAATGAGGGCATGCAGACGAATTCAGTGACTTTTCAGACAAAATTCTTACTTGAGAGGTGAGATTATGGGTACTTTTAGTTTCTTTCTCTCCATCTCCATCTTTATCATGTTATTAGTCCATTGAAAAAGGTCAGAATGGAAATGAGTTTCTGGCTTTCCTATTGCCTTGATCCATTAGCAGCAGTTTTATAGTTGATACATTGAGTCTTAAATAATGCAAAATTTGAATAAGATGGAAATTTTGGCCATGATCACACTACTGAGTGCCAACTTATAGTAAGAAAGGTGGGTGCAAATTTGGAGAGAGAAGTGTTTCCTTTAGAACATGTAAGGTGGCTTTCTGGGATTCATACAAGAGCGTCAATCTCCTAGCACCAGGACTGGCTGCCTGAGTTGTCATGAGTGCTCTTGGGAAAGGGGCCTGTCATGTATGAATCTATGGCCTTAAGTAAAACTCATTTATCTTCTAAGGGCCTCAGTTTCATAATCTCCACAATCACAACACTACTATAGACTCTACAGAGTTGTAGGATTATACTGCAAACACACGGACAGCACCCAACACATAGTAGGTCCTCAATACATGTAACTGAAACACAAATCGAACACACAAGCTATGTGACCTTGGGCACACACAGAATTACCTCCATGAAAAGGAGAATGGCATTACGTACCTCACAGAATTCTTTTAAGGACCATCTGTAGGTATCAAATAGTAATTGAGCAAATTTTATGTGCCAGGGACTTTTGTGTATATATGTGTCTCTCTTTAAAGATGTGAGCGACCATCAGAAAGCTCTGTCTAATACAAGGTATTGTTTCAGGTAACCAGATATTATACAGAAGAAATTGCATGGGCTCAGGTGGCAAACATGCACTGAAATATAAGATGACCTGCTCTTTAGAAGG